ACAGTATACTATTCAATCAACGACCATGTTACGGTTACTAGACGATGCGATGATAAAATATAATACGTAATTAATTAAAAAACCATAAAAATGCATGTACACGAATGTTTAGAACAATGTTTTTTTTTAAATTCGGTCTCGAGGTCAAAATACGTGTAGTTACGTTACGGATAAAATATGTGTTAACGGAAAATGTATGAAGTTCATGACAATATCCTTCGAAGATGTGCTGTACGCGCTTACTAAAGATTAATGCACATATACTACACACCCACAAATGTAGTCTAAAAATATTTGTGCAATCGCGACGTATTAAAGACATGTTTCCATGGTTATACTATGGAGAGTCATTTAAAATGTAGGAATAAAAAATGTTTAAATTACTCGTAATCCGCGAAGTAGGCCACGGTGATGAAATCGGTTTGCATCCCGTGCACAGTAAATATTTTTGTACGAGGGAACGAAATTCGATTAGGTTATCGTGGGGAAAAGTAAATATAAATACTGACTAGTATGGTTTGAGGTATAAATATGTATAGGTAGCTTAAAATGTATTTAAATAAAAATTTCAATGTGTGCAGTAAATAATATTTTAATAATATGGTGAAAAGTCTAATCTATATTTAAGTATTGAAACACGCATGATAAATACCCAAATCAAACTCAAACATATTATTTCTACACATGGTAATTTATTAAATCTTGTGGGTTTTTACTCAGGGTTAAATATTCACAAGTGAAAATATCCCTGGTTAAATGTTTAACTTGAGGTAAGTAATCGCTAGTGAAATGTTACCGGAAGTAAATCATTGTTTGTAAAATTTTACCTCAATAGGGTAAAATATAACTGAGGTAAAATTTCACGGTTACAACTACTTATAGTAAGTCGTGAATATATAACTATATTATAAGTACAGATAAACTCCTCTTCGCTCTCAATTTGTGGCAACTACCAACAATCACTTGGTAAAAATTAAAGTACCCTTCGAGATTTTTTTTAAAAAAAATATTTAAAGCAGGATTGTTATTTCTATAACATAAACATTTATTGTAATATAATACAGACGTACCTACTACGATTTAAGAGTTCTGAGTAAATTTACCATAGTAGTTTTACTATAGTTCATGAATTTCTAGAAAAAAATGCTTCGAATAGAACACGTGTAAGTATATTACACTATTATTACTTATTAACAAAATTATTATTCCATCATCAAATTACTAAAACTTTTTAAGAAACTTAGGAAGTCCTGTGACAATGTAAACTCTTTTTGTCAAAACTATTGATTTATATGATAATATTATGACGTACCTATAAATAATTCGAATTTCAAACAAAAAGTTTCTGTCTCTCCTAAATTAACTTTATGTGTTAAGGATAGTCAGTAACAATAACGAAATATAGTTATTGACTAGGTACATATAAGTCATTAAAAGGATGCGCCACACACCTGCTTGTGTTGTCTCCATCCTACGAACTTATGGAGTACAACATATCAAATTTGAATAAAGCTGTTCCAATTTTTGTGTATTGAGCTTTAATGATATAACTAAATTAAACTTAAAGGTAAGGATATTATCTGAGCTTTCAAGTGCGTTTTTGACGATATTATGAATTTGTAGAAAGTTATGAGAGCCTACTATGCAAAATATTACAATTTAAAAATTCTCATAAATCGCTTACACATTTTAATATTGTAAAAATCCCATGTAAAAGTACAGATGATGTTAATTTCTTCTAAGTTTGGTTTAATGTGTTAATTCTGTCTACTATTAACGGTTGAGAAGGTATTGCACAAGATTGGAGCTGCTGAATAACACAACTTTTGCTAAGTCTTACGTTCGTAATATGGAGACCACACAATATGTGGGCGTTCTCGTAACGTTAATTCTTTAATTTACGTCTTTGACGATAATATTATATACGATATAATGTACGTTTAGTGAGATTTATTGTATATGTGGGTATGCCACAGTGCCACAGACCCATCTTCTTTATCTTTGGCTTAATGGCATCAATTTAGGCAGTGAATATAGGCGTCATTACGTAAATCATTCATTATCGATATTTACAGAAAAAACCGATGACTCTAGTCTCTAAGGTTTTGCAAAATATTATAAATATATTATGAGTAGAACGAATTTAAAAAAAAAATCATTATGATTTATAGTATTACAATATTCGCATAAATGAAAAATCAATTAAGGTCGATAAATAATAATAAAATGGTTAATTACATACCTATAATAGTTGTGATTTGAGAAATTTCAAATTATTCGCTCAAACGCTATAATATTATAGTCTATAAGTGCATGATACATCTGGTGGTAGTTGATACATTATTTATTTCTTTAACTCAATTAAGTCAACATTTGTGTTCGTGTTAATTTTAAACTTTTATAGATAATTTATTATTTGTTAACTATAACAACGCTGACTTGCTCCACTGTATAATATATTATAGCATAGTTATACAGGTACTTTGATAGAAAGTGGGTAGTTATATAAATGGCGACTGACTTTAAGAATCATATTATAAATATTATGCGACAGTGGAGGAACCTGCAGGTTCGTCCTAGGTGTAGATCATTCTACTATTTCATTCATATATTGGTAATATATTATTAATGTATACTTACATATCAAAAAATCAATTTACTTCGATATTTATACGATTGAAATACTATATTTAACAATAATATTAACCATTGGTATAATAAGTACGAAACTAAAATACATATATACGCATTATATGTATAGTCCAACAACCTCGTAGTGAGAAATTGTCAGTCCTAAGACGAGAACTTTAATGCCCCTCTTCTTTACCAATATTTATTACATTTTGCACTTTCGATTCTTTTAAAATTATATTTCTACCTAAAACAATTCATGACTTGCTTGTGCTCTAGCGACGGGAATGCAGTATCCCCCCTCCCCCCTCATGTAATTTCTAGTCACCGTACTGTTAGGTGATATTCGATATAAATAACATTAAAATAATTATACATGACATAAATATTGTACACATATTTATATATTATTATTAATTTCGAAAATTTCATGAAATTTAATTTTTTTTGAAATATTTAATTTTGATGATATTGCTTTCATCGTACATTTTATAAATTGCATAATAATTATCAATCTTATATATTATGTATAATATCTCCTCTATCTACGCATCGTGATTGGGAATCAAATATTGATAATCAGGCGTAAAATAAGTTTGATCATCTAGTGATAATTTAATGAAACATGCCAAAAGACACAAAATTTAAATAAAAATTTAAAAAATATATATTCCAAAAAGGGTGGAAGTTTGAATTTTGAAATATCTCTAAGTTAAAATTTCACGTGAAATATTTCATAACCATAACCCACTAATCGTTCTATATCGTATCGTTGTACTCTGCCGTTTGCGCGAATGGAAGGGCATTTTGGATACGACCCGAGACTGCGCTTTTGCGACGGAATCAATGCTTTCTGTGACGAATGCTTTTTCGAAAAGAACAATAGGTACTGTGACTATTTTATATACTGTTACCTACATACAGAGGTATCCATCAATTATGATAATAGACATTGTACACATAGACCGCGAGCGAAATCACGTCATTAATTTTAAATCAACGTGTATACACATTTATGTATATAGGACACACACACACTTAAGCTCATGTATACAGAGTGATTGACAATGCATGCTCACCACCTTTTTTTCCTTCGATGCAGTGATTCAAAATCTGATTTTTGGAATTTTCTATTTCTTGTGATAATTTCAACTACCTAATTATGAAGTTTCCCACATTGTAAGTGTGTAACAAACTCCTGTTTTTTAAATGATAACTATTCTATAGTAGCCAATTATTTAGAGGATAATTTTTCCGAACATTTTAGGGGTATCGAAATCAAAGGGAGCTATGTGAACTATAGTGATTTGAACATTTTAGTAATTAATATTAATCCATCATTATTTATTTATTTATAAATTGTAAAAATGGTCTAACCTTCTAAGCATAATAAATACTAGATCCAATATTATATATTGTTGTATTTTTGCGAAGCCGTGTTTAAGGATTATTATCTCAGGATTAGACATCTTAATAATAACTGATAAATTACTCCTTCCAATTTTGAACTAGGTGCTTACATCAAAATATTATCCACTAAATAACTGTAAAAAAAAAGGTGAGGGTTCTCATTTGGCAAAAACAGAAGTTTTTATTTCAGGAAGCGCATCCTTAAGCGGTACGAAAAAGTCTCAAGAATTTACAAATATTGTCCATAAGTAGGTATAGTTAAAAATTCCAAAAATCAGAATTTGAACAAATTCACTGTTCAAAGAAAACATGTGGGTGAAGGGTGAGCTCGATATGCTTGGTGAATCGCCCTGTACACGATATTATAATATAATATTATTATATATTATACCTATACCTATGTATGACGTTGTGCGCGCGTGTTGTGTTCTAAGGGCACACTGTGTACAATATTATGCTCGCAGACACACACACACACACACACACCACATGCTTGGAAATACGGTAGCAAAGAACAGGCGAAACACGCGACGACGTTATAATAATAATATGGTAATCGATTCCGTACCTAATTCAAACTTATATAACTGTGAACGGTGAAAAACCGATGTAGAGCCCGTGCGCGCGGCGCATTTGGCCGTTTCGAGTTTCGTGTCGCGTCGTGTCGGGTTTTTTTTTTCGTTTTTTTACGAACAAAATAATATTATATATTATTATCATCTAAATATATATATATATATATATGTATATAAACAATACTAGTAATAATAATAATAATAATAATAATAATAATAATAATAACAATCATGATATCATGTACCTACGTTCGTAGTATACGTCGACGTACCTCTATTATACCCTGTACCCACTTTTGTTATTATTATAATATTATGTATTGTTTGCGCAGAAATCCGCGTACCTAAATGTACTTAAAGTTGTGTGTTTCTTTTGTATTTCAGTTGTCGTGTTGGTTAATATATCGCTGTCCCGCGAGGAATGTTTTCCCCGTGAGTAACAAAACAAAACATATTATTATATTTTAATATATTATATCAAAATGATTTAATACACTGTATTATTTAATATTATTATACGTCTGTTAAAAAACGTGTCCGTACCGATACGACGGACAACGGTATCACGTTGTTACATACTGCTAAATACTATATCGATATTCGTCGGTTACGGGCGGACTTTTTTAGTTTTTTTTTTTTTTTAACAAACGGTTTTTTGCATATTGTTTTATATCTTACCTTTTTAAACGCTGTACCATAATATATTATAGTATTATTATTTACCGTTTTACTTGATTTCTGTTTACAATATAATATTATTATAATACAATATATACGCAATCGTTTTCATAATAGAACTCCGGTCATATTATATTATTGTTTTGTCTTTCTTTTATATAATTTTATCTTCACACCCTTTTTTTAACTACCTATATACTATGGCTCATGTACAATGTAATGCAAATACGTAAAAATATAATACTACATACACCCGTCGTAATACTACAATATCGACCCGAATGAAGGACCTTAGAATATTTACTGTTTTACTCGTTATTATCACACCCGGAGTCGTCGGTACTAGTACGGAATGCTCAGCATATCAAGGTAGGTGTGTGACGTAGTGCAACCGAATTATATAATAATGTATTATAATAATAATAATAATAATAATAATAATAATAATAATAATAATAATAATAATAATATAATAACAATAACCGTATAATAATAGTGTGAAAAAATAAAATCGTATGCCGTGCTGAGTGCCGCTGACCTTTAGGTGGTATATTATAATATTATGTTTATAGTATATACGACGGAGTAGAAGTAATAATGTTCAATGAATAATAATAATTACCGTGATATAGTATACGCACTTGCACAAGTACCTATAAAATATTTTAACTAGTACGAAATGGGTACCTTATATATAGGTAAATATAGCACAGGGTTATGCTACCTTCTCGCTGGTGCACTATATAAACACTATACGGTATATGATTTAACAATAATTATTACATCATACAAATTTGCAATAATAATAAGAATGGTCATAATATTATACATTTAGGGCTCGAACTTTATAATGCTTTAAAAACTAAATATTATGCGTGCAGTGTATGCAGGCTAGGATTAGGATACGTGTTTGGGCCCTGGGACAAACAATTGTAGGGACCTGTATGCCTAACCATCACAATCAAAATATTGGTACTCTCCATCATATGAAATATTAGTAATATTATATTGTACTTCGGAGACAAAAAAAAATTTGTTTCGTATAGGTACCTGCAATATTATCATAAGTTTTAATATTTTCATGATTTTATTAAGTGGGTACTTACAAGTTTATAACCTTTCATTTGTACAAACAATATTTTCTTGTTTTTTTTGGAAGCATCCTTAAATTATTATGATCACAATTGCAGGTATTAAACGCATTGAAAATATCACTTTCTGGAGAAAACAAAACCGTTAAATTAGTTACCTAATCTTTATTCTCCAAGAATTTTTAGTTTTTTTTTTTACGAGTTAGTTCAAGGAAAGCTATGTTAAAAACAATATTTGTAGTTCGGTGTATTTTAATTGCAATGTACAAATTAGTAATACATTTTGGATTCTGAACGGAGCAAAATGTATTTGTACTTATATGTGTTTTTATTTTTTTGTCCTGTCTGTTATTACCTTTTGGGGCAGTGAAAATGTTTCAATTTTCAACTTTCAACTTTCAGGGTAGTTTTTTGTATCAAATTGGATCTAGTTGGTAATTTGAGGGGTCAAAAGTTAAAAATTAAATTTAAATATTCATATTTCTGGTAATAATTAATTCAACTTCCCTCATTACTAATAGTAAAATAAATACCTTAATTAGCACCTTACATAAAATATACTTAGTTATATTGTATAGGCTGACTCGCTCAGAATCGTTTTTCGTATGCAATGACTTATTGCTGAATTAAAATTGAATAAATTGCAGTGTCTTACTCAATAATGAGGTACACTCGATACCTATTTTACCTACTTTCCCTTTGTTTTTATTCAAAATCTTCTAAATATCTAGAGCGTTATCTTTCGTGTCATTGTATGTACGTTTATTCAATGTTCACAGCTGCATAATATTAAATATTAAATTGTATAATTCATTTTTTCAATGCATTTTTGTATTTGGTCACAATGTGATGATCTTAAGGTTTTCCTTGCACACTTAATATAAATATGTAGATAGTAGGTAGGTATTCTAAACTGAATACGAATTTTGATATTCATACATTATTAGCCATGAATTCATGACATGACAACAAGATTAAAAGCTTCAATAATCGTCTTTATTTTTAATTTACGAAGTGGGTATTTAATCCTATTACTTCCTACTAAAATTTGCATTAAGAGGATGTCAGAGCGCCGTTTGTTTTCTTTCTCTCTCTGGCTCAAGTGCAAACATAGATACAACGCATTTAAGCAAAATCTTTTTTTTTTTTTTATATTTTTGAACAATTTTAGAGAAAAATCACAAAGTACAAAATCGATAGAGAATAATATTTTTTAGGGAACCGATTTGTCTGAATATTGTCTCAAAACATTTTAAACATCATTTAAATTTAAATTAGAGTCGAATTAAATGCAAATAATAATAAAATATGAAACTTATAGGTCATACCTTCAAAAATATTCTCCTCTATGTTTCTTGTGATAGGCGATTTACACTAAGATCACTCAAAATCATAAAAAATTATTTTAGGTGAAAGCGTTTTGTCTATGTTACGCATGAGTCTAAACAAATATTGAACTGACATCCTCTTAATCCTCAAAATATACGGACTAGCAATTTTTTTATATTAATTTCCTTAAGTCTTTAATTCATCCAACTTAACTATAGCGATAAACGTATAAAGCAAAAACAAACAAATTTAAATTGAATAAAGTTCGAGCTCTAACATTGTTATAATTATTAATTTTACAGTTACGTACATAGGTACTAATTATATATTTTTAAAAGCTAAACGTTGATTGAGTTTGCTTGATTAATTTTTTTTCTGCTCGGATATATTATAATACTATCTTATATCACTTGTGGGTAGCTTGGGTGGAGGGGGTCGAACAAAATTTACATTTTGGTCTCAACTCCCTCTCCATCTGTAGATTTTTACAAATTTCTGTATACACACTACACAGAGTGATTCACCAAGCATTCTCGCCCTCTTTTTTTTTAATAATGTTTTAATAATGGAGCCTATCAAAATCTGATTTTTGGAATTTTTAATTAATTTTGAAGACCGCATTTTTAAATTATTGGGATTTTTTTGCTACGCTTAACGAGTGTCTTGCAATGACAAACTTCTGTTTTTCAAATTAACTTCCCCCCTCCCTCTTTCCCTCTTTTTACTGTAAATTATTTAGTGGATAAGTTAATGGGTATACTTAATACAATTTTACGTACCTAATTGTAAAATTGAACGAGTAATTTCTCGATTATTAAAATACTTATACTAAATATACTATCTTTTCAAACCCATTACCTAACATATTATGTCCCTTCGTACACAAAGTTAAATAAATCAAAAACTACTAGTTGGAATTTTGATTCTGATGAGCCAAATATTTCAGAAAAATGATTTACTAAATAATTTATGGTAGAAAAGGGAGGTATCATTTGAAAAGTACTTTTTAAATAATACGACAAATCTTAAGAACGTAAAAATGTAATCTTTAAGTATACTTAAAGATTCCAAAAGTCAGATTATGAATAACTTTATTATTGAAGATGAAAAGTGATAAGCATGCTTGGCGGATCACACAGTGTAATATGCGTATATTTAATACACATATAATATATACGTACAACTCACTTGTCACTGCTATAAAATGAAATAAATTAATATATTATTCAAAATATTTTTTTAAAATATAAAATATTAATATTATTAATAAGTTTGACTATTTGACGTCTATTAAACCTCTGCAGACCAGCGAATATTTTTTTGGAACATTTTTAGTTTGAGTACCTAGGTTTATATTTTTTTTGTTTCACTTTTAAAGAGTAGAAAGAATTATTTAGAAATAATAATAGTAAATTACCATATATACTCGTACATTTAAATGTTCCACAATTAAATTGAATAAAAATTGAGGCAAAATATAGTTTATTTTTTTAGGTCTCAATCTTTTATTGCTATACGAGTAGAATTTGAGATTTACACTGATCTCACAAATATCTTCAGATAATTTAACTTTATAATACTCAATGTATATTTTTTCACTTTAAATTAATTAATAAGAGTTTAATTTTTGATGCGTATGTAAAATATATGAACCAATTTCACAACAATTTGTACTACATTGAAACCCATAATTCACGTGGTTAAGCCGAAAACAGGACCCCCATGCAGCGAAATAATTGAACTAATATTACATTGTATCACTTTAATGTTCGTTTTAATTAAATATTCAAATATTTCATGCATCTTACATGATTAAAAATATATATTTTTAGATGTAAATTTGAAATACACCAAATAAACCATTTCACAACATTAACCTCGACCAACTGTCATTAAAAATAGGCGGCTGAACTTTAAACGACATTTTAAACGATCGTGATACTTAAATAAATCATTAAAACGCAATTTGCGATTTGTGACTAAAATAATAATCTTGTGGTGGGTAAAATGGTTGATCGTCTTTCGCATAATATTTCTATAATTATATTCGCTGGTAACTGATGAATGTCACAATAATAATAATAATACTGAGTGCGGTGATATATTGAAGTAAAACTCTAAAAAAAACAAAAATATTAAAATCCATCATCTTGCCACCTCGTTTAAATCGTTTATATTGATATTGATTTTGTTTTGTCATGCGATCTCCTGCGACGCCTTCAGCTCGGTCCATTTACTGTTACGAATGCGACAGCGCCAAAGATCCGCGTTGCAAAGATCCGTTCAACTACACAGCCATGCCTCAAGACCAACCGCCTCTGGTCAGCTGCAACGGCTGTTGCGTTAAAATGGTCCGGTACGTGCGAACGTGTAAGTACAAACAATTTTTTTAAATCATTTTTTTTTGAATTCTACCATTTTGTTTTCCAAAAACTGCTGCACTAGAGTGTCTACCGAAACATTTTTTGTCCTTATAATATTATAGTCTTAGGGAAGGTAAATGTCTGTACGTCTTTCAATCGTTCCTTTATAAATAATACATATTTTCCCCGATATCCCACAAACATAGTTGAATTTGAATTTATTTATGCATCTTCTTGGTGTGTTACTCTTAAAAAATTATAAATATTGTCGTCTGGAGAGGGGTTGCAAAGCGTCAAGAGCACCGGCTTCACTATTTTCATAGAGCAATCTATATACCTGCAGTAGCTTTTTCGACAAAACTTGCAGTCCAATCCTACTCGATTACCACTTACCATTTAGTTCATCAATAATTCATGAATCACTTCACCTCTTCATAAAAAAAATACCATTTAAAGCAATACAAATTGACCACCCCTATAATAGATAAATAAATTAAAATACCGCCTCCAAAAAACTCTAAACAATAAATATATAATAATATTTTATTAGTACTATTGGTACTATTATATCCATAAAGCATCTAGGTACTTTCTAGTTAATCTGTAAAATACGGGTACACACCACACAGTACACAATCTCTCAAACACAGACAGGACAAATGAAAAATAATAAAATAATAACTATCTACTTAATGACTACCTATACCCATATGGCCATATGGTCATAGTTTAAATTCAAGGCACTCTTTGCACACTGTAATTTGATCTGACGGTGTGGTGTGTGGCGATATTTTCAATGTGGCAGCAACGTGGGCTCTGGGCCGACTGCTCAAGCTGAGTTCAAAGTGTTAACTTTAGTATTATCATAAACTGTTTTCTGTACGATGCACATACGACTCGTAGATTATGTTTACGAACTTATTAAGACTTTAAATTATAAAATAGATATAGGATACCATAAACATTAAAATAATCACCACTATCACTATCACTATAGGTAGTAGATACATAGCATAAAACAAACTCGCTTCCCGCTGTCTGTCTGTCCCTATGACTATTGTATGCTCAGACCTTTAAAACTATGCAACAGATTTTGATGAAGGTTTTTGTGATTGATAGAGTGATTCAATATGAAGGTTTATATAGGTTTATAACATGCATAATATAGTAGAGAAACACTGATAATATTTTAAAGGTTTGTAATATGTGATGTCGCGAATAAACACATTTTTTGAGCCTACGTTGCAAACGCTGGCTGAACCCTACGAGATAAAAAAATTATACCCCCCCAAAAAAAAATGTGAGCTTTGTATACAAAGACATTCTATAGTATATTTTAATATCAGTATTGCATTAGTGAGGAGCCAGAGTGGGTGTCTAGTACATTATATACAAAAATAGCCGTTTATACATTATTATATAAAATTATACATTTTCCATTTTTTTTTTTATAAGTATGATGTATTTAAATAAAGCACTACAGAATTTACTGTAGTAACTTACTTTAGCACTCTCTAAATTTAGCCGCCCTAGGCAACTTCCTACACTGCATACCTAATGGGTATTCCACCTCCGAATCTCTGATCATACATTTCAAAATGTTTTTTTGCCTACATCACTGTTCAAGTAATCACAGTAGAATGTGAATAGTCGCCTTAAGTCCCTCGATTGATAAATAATGATTTATAATATTTATATATGTACCTAGGTACATTAGTATACGCATTGAAATCTAAGTATTTTAAATTTTAATAGAACTACGATCGAGTACAAACGATTATTTTTTTCTTAGATGTGTTTTCGTGTAGTCAAACACTAAATTGTATTAGTAACTATAAAATTGTCATTTATTATAATTTATTATTATACACGTTGTCACCATACGACCACATTAGTCATGCACATATACAGGAAATGGACCAAATGATGGCTAGTTAAATTGATACCCCTTTTTCATAGATACGGTCTAAACGTCGGACAACAATTTATAGGTTCTTCCTGTAGTTGAGGTATAGTTTGATTTTAAAAATTCAAACACGTCAGAACACATAAACAAGCTTAGGTACAAGCTAATTCTGCGGTTAACAAAGAATAAAAATATGTATTTGGTTTATTATGCTTTGAGAAATTCCACAGCGAGTTTTCACATGATTAGGAATTTTTATTAACTATCATATATTTATATAATAATAATATAAAAACATAAGCTTTCGATTTGCTATGCATGTACTTATCAACAGTATAAACATAAATGTACAATATACGAACCCGAACAGAATAATAGATATAAATGAAAATAGCCAACATCAAACGCGGACAAAGTGACAACCTAAAACCAGTACTTATCTACAGTTGTATAAAAAAGTCCCGATAGCCGGACACCGGTAGGTATTCGTCGTCTTTTTTGTATAAACACGTGCACATGCACAACGCATAATTTGGCGAAATCAGTTTTCGTCACAACTTTCAAATTATTAAAATACTCGCATTATCAGCCATATATACCATCTATGCTAGTCCAGCGTGATGGGGTGATTCGCCAAACATGCTTATCCCCTGTTTTTTATCAATTACGCAGCTATTGAAAATCTGATATTAGACATTTTCAAATACACTTAAATACCATATTTTTAAATTTTTGTGGTATTTTGCACCTACTGCCTACAAGAAATACCCCGTGGAGTTAAAAACTTCTGTTTTTCGAAGGGAACACTCATTTTTTATTGTAAATTATTTAATTTTTCTGAAAATGTTGACGTATCAGTCGTATCGAAATCAAAATTCAAAACGAGTTCTTGTAGTTTTTGAGTTACTTGGCTTTGTGACTTGTGTAGGTACGTATTAAAGCTTAAAGATAATCTTTCAAATCGTTCCACGATAATGGTTTTGAAAGATTAAGAAACTCAACACTCTGTTTTGTCCTATTCACTGCTCGTTAGGTATACCTAAATCATCTCAATTTGTTATTTTATTAATTTATAGTACCTATATAGAGATTTTTGACAGTAAATTCGTATGAACTTAATACAAACAAAATCATAAAAATGAATAAAATATCAGATCCCTTTTACAGTCTAAGCGGCTGGTATACCAGGTATACCTATTTGATCAGCATAATAGGTACCAGGTACCTACCTATAGGTATATGCTTGGGAGTACACAATCTCTAGTGTATAATATGTATAATATGTGCATTGTGCATTTATGCTCACAGTTCACATACCTACTTATAGTTTATACTAGCTAAATATAGTTATATACCTACAACTAATTAAGTCAACAATAAATAACGATATAGTGTCGTAGTTATTATTATATATAGGTATTATTTAGTTGAAAACAATTATGTTGGATGGGCTCAGAACTAAAAGGTATTAAATTCATTTTTTATAAATCCCCTTTTTATAGGTGTTTCCCGCATTAATGTTAATACGATATAACATATTTTATCAACGTCAAGTAACCAGTGCTCAGTCATAATTTAGTAAATCTCACGAATAACCATGTCGGCTGATTTTTTGAAGAGTTGTCCAAAACTAAAATGTACCTAAATAATGCAATTTACAAATTTGTTAAGGTTTAACTAATGCATGTTAATCAAATAAATATCCAGGGCCCAACCCTTCGGATACTTCAAAAACCAACCAAAATTATTCATTAGTTACATTTAGAGCTGTAAGCTGAAAATGTTGATTGAAATTTTCATGCATTTTTCAGCAACATGAACAATTTTCAACATTGAAATTTTTCAAGTTTTTTCATTTTATTCTTTTTTTTGTTCAAGAGTTAGGCAAGTGAATGTACCCAACTTTGGTGTATGTAGGTAATAACTAATTATAGTATTGAAAATTTGTAATATTACGTATTTAGTAAAAATAGCAAAAACTATGATACCTAGGTAATTATTATAGTAACGATAAAGATAATATACAGACTATAATGTAGTTGTAATACTATACTGTCAGTAAGTGTTTAATTATCAAGTGGCCGATACACTTTAAAAAAAAAAATCAATAATTACAAAATCTATAAAAAAATTTCAACATTTTTCAGTTTTTGAAAATGTTCGTAAAAATGTACTGTTTTAAGTAAACTATTACAGTTACCTATTTCATATTTTAAGATATTGTTGGAACCGTCGTACCATTTTTTAAAACTTGATTAATTGAGAACGAATTTTTGAAAAATCACTGGCTACTTCAAGCCAAGTCAGCTGCCAACTTTGGAATGTTGAAACATTTTGGATGGTTTTTAAAATGTTTCAAAATAAACCAAAAAGTAAGAACCAACAATTGAAAACCATTATTCGAAAAATGGCATATTTTAGCATAGGTAGGTACTATAATATTTTTAATGAAATAATTTAAAAAAAATAATGATTCTTCATCATTTCCATTATGTTTAAATGTATTATTATTATTATTTACCTGTATTTTACGATACCACTGATACAACCTATGACCCAAATAATATTGGCAAGGTAAGAATTTTTATAGCTGGAAACAGATTCTTCTATTTCAATATCAGAAAAATAGAAAGGGTTTTTTTTGGACTTGGCCTTTCTTATGCCAACCCTGTTATAAATAGCTCAAAAAGAGTCAAAATATATTAAAATATTATGGTGTCTAGACAATGTTAATATAAACATTTGGTGAAAATTCCACGAATCTACGATTATTTATTTTTTTTTAGTTACAAAAAAAAAACAAAATTGATTTTGTCAACTTGTTTTGCATAAAATGTCCGTTTTTTAAAAATTGTCATTGTTTCTCTCGAACGCCTCGAAAACTCCAAGAATTTTCAATTCGTATCCCACAAATGCACCACCTTATTATCCACCTACACTCACTTTCCCACCAAAAAAGTAACTAGTAAATTTAAGCATTATTTCAACTAAATACTTACTTGCGGGTAAACACGTCTCATAAAAAGTGTTCAGTACAAAAATGAAAAGTTATATAATATTATAGCTTGTGATTCGGCCATTCTAGACACTTTTAAAAAAGCACCAAAATATTGATAGGTGGTCACTCAATTTTACTACAGCAGTGTTGATTCCAAATTTATAAGCCATTTAACAGTCAATAATATTATACAACTCTATACCTGGTCTTATACTTTGCACTGATAATAACCATTACATAATAATAACCGATTGTGTTGTTTCATGGCACGCGCGCAGCATACGAAAGCATCAAGAGAACATGCACGTCTCAACTGCAAATCAACCTGTTCATGGTGGACCACGTGTGCATGATGGAGGGAACGGGCACAGGACACATGTGCTTCTGTGAAGAAGACAACTGTAACGCGGCCACCGGACCAGCACGGTCATCGGCGATAGTGTCCGGTGCTGTAGCCCTAGCAATGTACACCCTGAAACTGCTATTGCACCGGTAGATATGGTCGAAAGGGCCAACAGTGTTTCATCATACATTTATTTACAACTTTTATTTCCCCTAAGTGTATATTATTATTTTTTTATCATCATTACACATAATTCTATACGTAAGAACTAAGAAGTAATAACTAATAATAATAACAATCATGTCATTAATGTCGAAGTGTGTTAACACTACAAGAGCTCTAGTTGACGTAATAAAAACTATGCCACATTGTTATAAATGTTCAGTTTTTTTTTTTTATCATAAATACTATTTACCACCATTAAAATGACCAATCATTAAGTACAATAAAACATATGTCACAACATGACATAAATGCCACGAGGCAAGTACATTAATTACATCAGTATACCACTTTTTGGTACAAAAACAATATTTATTAACACAGTATGTCAGTATAGTTTTTTAATAATCATAATAATAATGATACAATGAAATCAATACATTTATCGTTATTGTGCATATAAATTATGTGTTTCACCTAGCATTAACAATATTATAATAATTATGATCTTTATTATGCTTAAATTCTCTAATCATTGAGAATATGTTATAATAATGAATTCGTTCTTCGGTAAACATTAAGCTTCTGTTTTAAGTTAAATGAAAATACATACATTTATTTTTATATGATATATTATTATACACATATATATGTATAATAAATAACTAATAAGTAATAACAATGTTAATATTCACAATGAAAAAATTATAATTGTAATAATTAATAGTAAATAAATAAGTATATAAATATAATTACACTCCTTTATGTAAAATTTTAATTAGTAAGGTGAGTACTATAAAAGTTAATGTTAACAAATATGACAGTTAGCTAGTAATTGAAAAAATAAACATATTATAAACACTTTAGGTATAAAAATGTTTATATATTATTATGCCGTTATAATGAATAATGCTAAAAAAAAACTATAAGTTTACTTCATTACGGCACAATTAAATGGCAAAATGTGTGACATGACAATGAAACATTAATGTGACAATTTGATTATAACATTATTACTTAACATAAAGTTTAATACAAGATCAAATTGTCTTTATAACATTTAATTGAAATCTTGCCATACATAAGTAACAGATTTATAAAGCAGTCGACATTTTAATTTTTAATAGTAAGTATATATTAAATTCACTATTACGTTAAAACAAAATATAAAAATAAATATAATTCATATTTGGTATGAAAAAAATAATAAAATAGTTCAAACTAAATTTACATTTAAAAAAAACGAACAATAATTTATAGTTTTAACAGTATTGAGACGCCTAGTCTCTACTAACAAAATCCCATAATCAATGTTTTCATACAATTTTAGTATAACTACTCATTTTGTGGTGTTTCGACATAAAAGTGTTCGAGGGCACATATTTTTCTTCATATTATAAAGAGTTAAAAATAAACTAAAAATTCATAACTAAGCGATTTCATTGTTTTCAATATAAAAGTGAATAGCTACCATAAGTAATCTTTCAATGCATATTATTAAAATATTACAGAATATATAGATTAGACATCACATTTACTTAAAGACCAAACATTTGTTCAAAATAATTATCTATTAAATTCACTATATATATGAAACAAAATCATATTATTTCAAACTTTTAATTACATTGTAACATTAAAGAATGTTAAGAATGTTTTTTTTTAACATATAAACTAAACAGTCTATATGTTTATTTAAAAAAATTTAATTAATAAAAATCATAACTGGAGTAATTTTATTTTTTTCATGAAGTATTGTGGTTGATTTTATAAAAAATTTTGTTAGTAGAGACAGCCTTTAATTAACAAAAAAATATATATATATTATTATCTTTTATAAATTTATCATAATGCAAAATTAATAATTATGTCTACAGAGCGTTACAATTCGATGTTTTTGTTGTTTTAAATACTTATTGGATAATATTTACAATGCCAAAATGCTGTTGGGCTATTAAAAATAGAGTATTAATTTATAGACTATTTATATAAAAAGTTAGCAAAAACACCTCTTTCCATGTTATCAATTATGTAAAGGTACAATAAGCATGGTTAGTCATTGTTTACATAGTCTGGTTTTGAAAGACAAACTATTTTGAATCTCAGAAATACAACGATATGTTTATGTTGAGATAAGATTGTAAAACTTAAAACAATTACTAATTGAATGAGTTAATTGACTAGAATTTTTGAAAGTGAGATTGTTCTTACTGTGATATACATATATTATATATATATTAAGTAATGATTTTTATTATTATTATTGTTGGTTCACTATTACAGATACTTTGTGAGTGAATAAAAATTTCAAATACAAACATGTCTAATAATATACTCATGTTAGGAACTAATATGTTAAAAACAAGATACTGATATGAATAATGTCACTGAATACAATTGAAAACCAAACAAGTTGTTGAGTGCATATTCTGATGTACAAAACAAAATTGTACAGACAATAATAAATTGAATCAAATACAATCAAGGTTGTTAGTGCTTTATATAAATAATAATCAAACATGCATTATTGGCTCTGGATAAGTCTTTTGTGTGTTTGTGTAAATTAATAAGTGCAAATGTGAGGAGATGGAGGAGAGCAATATAATTTTAAAAGGAAAAGTTTATGTACGGGTAAATGTAACTTCACAGATAGTAACAAGAACTCTAACGCTCTCATTCGTTGACTGTGTATGATTTGGTCGTGGTTGTCGTGTTGTTGCTGATTGTAGATGAGCAAATATACTTTACAGTGTTGTTCTTGGTGGACATCGAGGAGGATTTGTTAAACACATTTTTGGGGCTCGAGCCTGAAAAATAAACATTCATACCTATTAGTTTCATTAATAATCAATCAAATGTATTATTATACTTTAATATTAAAACTATCAGGCATGCACTTGGATAGTTTTTAAAAGTGGCTTAAAAGCAGTCTCCTAGGTTTCTGAAATTGACATAATATGTAACCAAATTATATCAAGTTAAGGGAAAAGTCATAATATTTATATTTATAATTGAATTAACTTTTTAAATTAATATTTTCTAACTTTGCGAAAGCAGTGACTGGACCTTGTTAACTTGGCTGCTATATACCAATCGGTTATGTTTAATAAATCCATTCATTAGATTTCTAAGAATTTAATACTCTCTTCTCATCTTAAATTGTATATAAAAATAATGTGGATACATTAATATAATACATATACAACTAATATAATAGTGTGATTCAAAAGTAGCTTCATAATGTAGCCATATTATTAAGTATGAACTCAATTGTCTATACATAACCAATGTATAACTCAGAACATAACTAAAACAATATTGAAAATTGCCGCAATTAAAACCATGAAGATCAAAACTAGAATCATTATGATCAAACTATAACAAAAATTGTAAGCTAGTGCAAGGCATTACGTCTAACTAAACCATTTTTGTACAGCAACTGCAATTAATGGGATTGTCATAAAGAATAATGCTATTTTTTTCAATTATATTTAATTGCAAGTTGTACTTGTTTATTTTTAATTATTACTAAACTTAACTAAGTAAATTGTAGTAGAAATAACTAATAGTGATTTCATGAATTCATCATATTTGTGAAAGCCAGTTAATCTTATTAAAGTGTGTAACACACTAGAACGGTAGAACAATTAAATACATATTACTGTTATCTCTTCAGCTACTACTGAAACTAGAGATATATATAAAGGATTTTAGAAGCGGAGAAAGCCGTACTGCATAAAAGCAATTTAAGGTTTATTCCTATTGGCAGCCTACTATAAAAGATATTATTGTTGGTACTACATAGAATCTCAAAACCGTCATAAAATAAACCAGTGGATAATTACACAACGGTAGTAATAAAAACCCAGTCATTTCTACCTGTCCATTTCTATTTTATATACGTTAAATAAATGTAGAATACCTAATAGAAATATACAACATATTATATTTTATTTTATAATATAAGTTTAAAATATAAGTTAAAAAAGTTAATATAAGTTTAAAATTAATTCTAATTTTTTGGACACTTGCTATATTCAAATTTGTATATTCACAACACTAAATTCAGTAATTTATATATAATACAGTAGACAATAGTAAATAAAGAGCTAAATGTGTACATTTATGTCACAATAAATTCTCTCTAAGCAGACATTATTGGTTACTATATTATTGGTACTGTAAACATCTATTAACTGGGGAGATAGCATCTTGGGTCTGTGCGGTCGGGTAGCCCAATTTCCCTGGCAAGCGAGAGATCTAGGTTCAATCTTCACTCCAGCGGCTTGATTTTTAACGTTATCTTCCCAGGAGAAGTTACAGTACTTAGATTTAAATATAAATTAATACCTCAGTATTTTATTGTATTACACAGTATATTTTTTGTCGATTTTTATCATACACGATTACATGTAAAATTTCAGTTTTGTTGTATATTGTAAGAAATCAGTGGTTATAGATCATTAAGAGGATGCTACACCCTCATGTGTTATTTTTGTCTTACAAACGTACAACATATCAAAAACTATTTTGAGCGAAATAGAACCACTCAAGCTGTAGTCCAAGCTAAGCAATCAAATTTTTACACTATAAACAAGAGAAAATTTACTGTGCAATATCATTTTCATTTTTCGACATCACAAATACAAGAAAAGTTATTCAAGTTTGAAATAATTAATTTATAAGCAATAAGAAGTTTTCTTGTATTTGTGAAATCGAAAAAATAAAAAGGATATTCAACAGTAAATGTTCTCTTGTTTATACTGTGAAAATTTGGTTGCTCTGCTTGGATAACATCTTGAGTGGTTCTATTTCAAGCAAAATAGTTTTTGATAAGTTGTACATTTGTAAGACGGAGACAACACATGCGAGTGTAGCGTCTTCTTAAAGGTAAGTAGATAGCAACAGCACAATAGGGTAAAGCAAGCAAAAGCAAACAGCATTTCAGCTTTCAAAGCTTTTAAAAACGCTCTCTCGACAGAAAGCAGTGTCCACCACTGCATTGTTCTCGTCCACCAAATTAAGTGTATTTATAGGTAGGCAGTATACCTGCTGAATTGTACGTGTACAATTTATTTGTGCCTGAGTGAAACGTTTCATTAAAAGTGTTCAGACTAGTTTGATCATTTGAGTTGTTGAGGAGCTTGTACACGTTGTAGGCGTTAGCCTGAATGTTGTCTCCGTTTTCATCCATACTACTGTTGATGTAGTTGTCAGTGGAAGTTCTATAAAATATAGCACCGATGTTTTACCAATAAAATATTAATCGAGCTCAAATGGTTTGCGATGAAGACCC